GGGAAAGAGTCATCAGATTGCTGTTTTAAATAGCAGAACCTCTCATTTTATCAGGTACACACCTACTCCTAAGCAAATATTATATACACTCTTCGTCTACAAGAATCTTTAAAGTATCCTTAAAGATTATGGCTTAACAACTCCTTTATTTGCTTTGACCTTGGTATTTTTAAATTTTCACTGCTACCCCTCGTTTGAGCAATAATGGTGCCTTGAGCCAGAAACAAGCAGGCGACGCTGTGGCCTTCCCGGCAAGAATAACAGGGCACCACGCACATCCCTTGTTATTGCAGACCATGGCATGGTCCTTGGAAATGTGCCAGGCAGAGGCTGCAATCAGTCTTATATAATTTAATTTAACAGTCATTAGTCATTTGCTACGGCTCCGCAAGCTTCTGGGCTCCCCCGTGAGATGCTGGGTCCCTGGGTGCAGGGAGCAGCCCTGGCAGCAGGAGATCAAAAGATAAATGGTGGAGGCATCTTGGGGAGGAGAGCATTTGTGAGGACTTGAAAAGCCCAGACAGAATTCATCTGTGTGTTTGCAGCAATAGGGTCCCTGAAGGGAAAGTATTCAGATAACCCCTACATTTCTGTGGAACCTAGGTTATGCCAGGGAAAGTTGTCTCCTGTAGATACTTGAGTACGTCATGCTCTGTAGTTCATAAATAGCAAAAAAAAGAGAGACCAACAGAGTAGATGAACTTAATGTAGAAGGTAAATGAATGTAGACCTTTTCTCACTATACTCAAGGCTGTCTCACAGTTCGTCAAATATATGTTACCTTTGGCCTTTAAATGCCAGAGTTCACGAATACATAGTAGTTCATAAAAAGGCTGGATTCTTGTATTAAAGAGTAATGGAAACAAATCTATAGTCTTTATGTCAGACACACATTTTGGAGGGGAAGAAATGTGGAAAGTGGAATGCCATGGGCCAGCGATTTAGAGATGAATGCTGAGAGCTGAGACGACCAAGCACCAGCACTTGTGTCTGCCAAGCACCAGCACTTGTGTCTGCCGTTATGTCAACAAAAATATCCATTAATCATCTCATCTCCACAGCTTCCTCCTGCCCAGAAGGGATGGGAGAAATGTTTTAATCGAGCCTTCTGGCACTTGGCTCACACAGAGCTAACGCCGTGATGTAATGCCTGACTTCATTAGCACTGGTCTAACTTGCACACAGGCACACGCACACTGTTAGCAGTCTTCCCTTTGAGCCGCGGCCGTTTTGCAGCGATGCATCTCCAGACCTCTGTTTCCATCTGCTTTTGCAAGGAAGGAGGCACCATGCTGGCCAGCCCAGGAGGTGCCATTTGGCTCCTTCTCGGACTCTCCAAACAGCCACAGGATTTGGACTGGGAGTTTTGGCACCAGGAAAATCCTATGATGGGTCCCTCGTGAAACTTCATCTCCTCGATGGGTGGCATGAGATGTCACAGGAGATGGTGCCCACTCCCACCACCTCCAGGGTGAAGGACATTATTTTTGGGTGTCCAGAAGACCACACTCAAATCAGTGCCAAAGCCTGACTTGGCTTTAATTGGCCTCAGAAAAGTGCATGCTCTTCCCTGATGGGAGCTGACACGTAAAGAGAGTCAGGAATTATAATCCTAGTAGTAAAAGGGCATTTCAGAGCTTGAGGGTCCCATACAGAATTTATTTCAGTTTTTTGTCCTGTGTTATCTACCAAGATAATCCATTTGTGTCTTTTTTTAATCAGCAAGGCTGAATCCATGAGTGGAAAAAAAAAACCCTCAAGCCCCTGCTTTGGGTCTAAGTCCAAGATTAAAACTTGTTTTTGGTTTTTTTTTTTACTTATGAGACTCCAAAACAAAGTTCATTGCCTAACTTCTGGCATGGAGGAAAAGTAATTGATGTTTCAGAGGAGGTGACTTGAGACTTCGATGGACACAAGTAGGTAAAAGAACTTTAAAAAGTCATTAAACTCACTGTTTAAAAAACCAAATTTGTGTACATACTACGGCAGTGAAATAATTATTTACACAAGTAATGGAGAACTGTGGTCAATTCTGTTTTCATAAAGAGAATTAGGGTTGTAAAACAGGTAATTCAGCTGTTACTGCTCCCCCTTGCAAGGAGTGAAAGGTAGAGAGGAGGAGGACTTCTGCAACAGGCTAGGGGTGCCTCTGGGAGCCTCACAAGGATGATGCGCAGCAAGGGAGCGTGACAAAAGCAGGCATTCCCCACCAGACCCTGCAGACAAAAGTGAAACTGCACACACCCTCCCAGCCCAGGGTGAAGCTCCCTACCCTGGAAGGGTTTCTCTTCCTTTAAACACAGGTACTTCTCCTTTGGAGGAGAGAGAAGTGCTCAGTGTCCCCTCAAATGACACAGTCAGGGTGCCAGTTGGAATTTTTTTTCAGCCATCCATGAAGGTCCTCCTCCAGATTTGGGTCAGTGAGGAGACATCTGGTGAAGATGGTTGGTGGCTGTACGCGCAGAGCAGAGAGCATGCCTGCACCCTATATTTAGCTGATTAGTATAATGAGCTCAGCATGGTTTGGGGATCTGGAGTCCCCCACGATGAGTCACCATTGCTCACAGTGGTCCCTGGGGACCGTGGCTTTTAGATCACTGCTTTTGCTTGGGAAATAGTTAATTTCATATGTGGCCAAGTCATTGCCTTTGGCCTGGCCTCCTCAGTGTCACATCTTCTGGAATATCACTTAACTTGTGTTCCCGTCTCTCCCTCCGTACCCACCTGCTGCTGCTGTGAACACACACTGGTGGGTGATGCTATTTATCAGCCGCACCCCTGCCGGCGAAGGCTGCAGCAAGTACCAAACAAGGAGAACATGCAAACATGATGCAGCTTTTGCTCTCCAAAAATAGCAGGAGAAAGTCAGTGAAGTTTCTTCCCCTGACCCCAAGCTAGAGATCCTCAGGATAGATTTGTCAACAGCATCTGCTGGCTTTCGCCCGGCAAACCACACCATTGCTTTTTGCAAACATCATCAAAAAGGGAATTCAGAGAGCTCCCTGTCCTTCAATGAAGCAAGAAGATTGCTCCAAAGAGGGGCAGGAAGATCTCACCTCTCCTTTGACACCCTCCCACTTAAGAAGCATTTTACTAGTAAAGGGTCTCTGACTTACGTTTGCAGGCATCCGGGGCAGAGAAGGGCTTCCTGAGGTCCCGGTAGAAGCCCGGCTTGCAGCGCTGGCAGTGCTGCCCTTCAGTGTTGTGCTGACAGTTGTCACAGACGCCACCGCTGCGATTGCCCGATGCCAGCCACGCATCCATGTCAAAGTGACAAGTGTCGGCATGCCCATTACATTTGCACGCTGAGATGAAGCCAAAGAGAACGGAAAGACTCATTACGGCAGTGAAAGATGTTGATTTATAGGAAAGAGACACAAAAAGACAAACCAGGTTCTGGAATGGGAGACCTGACCTATGAACCCGTTATTTGTTCAAAGGCATGAAGTATCATCATCATAATTTTCATTCATGCTTTCTAAATTCTAGGGGTGACATTTAAGAAAAAAATTACTTCTTCAACTCTTTTATTTTCAGTACGAGTTTCTCACGACATGGACAGCAACATGGTCAGACTGGTGCAGGGAGACCTTCCACATTCACTGGTCCTGCTGGGACAGGATTTTTTCCCTTCCTGTACAGCATCTGCCATGTGGGTGCTGTCAGGATGCTTCTGACATCTGACAGAAGGAAAAGGCAGATGGAAGGGAGGCATGTGAGGGAGGGTGAGCATCCCCCTTTCCCTGTGCTGGCAGTGGAGGAAGTCTGGATGCCCACACATCCGAAGTCAGGGGCCAAGTAAGATCTTCCAATCCCTGCTCATCAAATGCTGTGAGTGGAAACAGGGATTCACTGTCATTCCCTTGGGGAACATCCATACCCACATAGGCAGGCTTGTGAGGTTTTGTGAGGATTTCCAAGCAAGGAGCTTTGCGAACAGCACTGTCCCCAACACGCAAAACATGTGATGGGTGCCAGGCAGAAGCATGGCATTGGCTGAGGTGCTTCACAGCTGCCTACCGCCCCAGGATCTGCTGCCTCTTGGAAACACAGGAGAAAAGCCCACAAGGAGGAACCATTTGGCTCTGGCAGAGGCTCTGGAGATGCTGTTCCCAGCTGGCTACTTACACTGACACTCTCTGGGGGCTCCGGTTTTGCCATCAGCAGCCTGCCAAGGCTGGTCATTGTAGAGCGGGGCGCAGTGCTGGCAGTGGGACCCTGCTGTGTTGTGCTTGCACATGCATTTCCCATGGACCTAGGAGGGAAAAGAGAGCAAGGATCACCCACAGCAAAACCGAAAGAGTCTCTAGGGTACAAGCAACTCCCATGTACAGGAGATACCACACCAGCTGGATGCTGTTACATAGACTAGGAAGAGAGCTAGCATGGTGGCCGTCTTGGTGTCTAATTCAGTCAAAGGCAAATATTCTGCAGTTACACTTTCAACTGGATTAGTATTTATGGATCTGCATGTCATGTTGTTGTCTAATCACAGCTTTTCTTTGAGATCTAAACGAATCTTTATCAGAAAGCTTTCAGCTGCAGCATGAATTTCCAGGAGAGATTAAAAGAAGCCAAGATCCAAAGCATCCACTGTAAAAACTTTCTCTTTTTCTCCCTCCCAAACATTAATATACCTCTGCAGGACTGTAGGAATGGCACTTACAACCTCAGCACCAAGCTCTGTGTGCCAAGCCAGCACAAACATATATGAGAAAAAAAAGCAATTCAGACACCTGAAACATAGATATCTATTAATCCTAAGGAGAGTTTCTGCTGCACAAAGGAAGAACCAGGGATAGCACAAAGACCAAGAGTGTCTACACTCTTATATCTTCATGACAGATAGGTAATTTAACAGCTAGACAGCCTAGTGTAAGGGGTAATTAGAGATGAAAAGCCAGCATAGCACACTTGGTGCCAGCTGCCCTGTCAGCCGCTGGCATTACTCACACTGTTGGCAAATGCAACGAAAACAGGACATAGCCAGAGGGCAAAAGCAGCCCCTAGATGCAATCAAATCAAGCCCTGAAGCAGGATGGCTGTCGGCAAAGCTGAAGGCCCTGCCTTTTCCTGTGGAGCGTGGCGGGCAGCTACCTACCATAGCCATTTCGGTGGCTGCCAGCTCTACTCTGCTCTGTGTTTTCCTTTTAAATACAGTTTTACTAAGACCATTTCAGCTGCCAGTCTCTCCACATATCTGATGCATGGCCAGGCTGAAGGCACAACCGGCGTCCTGTGTTTGCTGAAACACGAGCGGTGCCTCATCACCCCTGTGCCCCTTCCTTTGCCAGTTGCGGGGAAAGTGATAAAGAAAGACAATAAACTGAGCGTGGTGCGGCTTTTCCTGCTGCTCAGTAACCAGCAACAGACCTCAGCCTGCCCTGCCAGCGTGGCCCCATGCTCATGCCACAGATGAACCATAAAACCAGCAGGGCTGGGGAGCTGCACCAGCCACCAGCTGCTTTCGGCATCGAGAGTGACACAGGGTGGTCAGGGTAGCTGGGGCATGGCTTTAACTGCTACTGGTGAACTTGCACTCTGTTTAACTTGGGGTTTTACAAGTGTGCTGTTCCTAACTGTATGACTTGTTGCTGAGACCTGCCACGAAAAAGGTTGTTGTGTAAAACCTGACCAGTAAACAAAACAGAAGAGGACCCTGAGCATGTTGTAAACAGCTCCTGCGTGTTACATAGGTGCACACCACACAATGATACCTTCCTGATTTTTTTTTAATTAATAGATTTCAGCTGCTTTTTCACAGAGGTCAGATGTAACTGGTACAGATAAAACTTCAAAATTGATTTTGAAGGTCCTTAAAAGACTTTTCACCAGCAATCCAAATAGCAAAATCTTTCAAAAACTTTTCAAGTGGTCCTTTCCTGCCTTAATAAAATGTCTGAATGGTCAGAGCAGGAATAAGCAAAATACAGCACGGCAAGCAGACTGCATGAGCAATGGAGAGATACAGAGTCAGAATGCACAGGCATCAAAGCTAAAGTGCAAATACTAAGATAACATTGCTTTCTGTGCTATTTCGGTGTCATCACATTAATGAGTTGGTCTCACCACAGACAGGAGTTGGTCCATCTGGCTTACTGTATTGACATATGCTTCAATGTGTGCTAATGTTTAAAAAAAATGAGAAGCAAATATAGAAAAGAAACAAAACAATTTGCAGAGGGAATATTCAGTTCTCAAAGTGTGTCTTGTGTTTTCATATTTTCATTTTTGCTACCACATACAAAGCATTCTTCTTCAAACTCTCAGACACCTTATTTTTCTAAGTTATCTTCAATAAAATTTCTCTCTCTTATGTATTTTTTAGGCAAAGTCCACAGACAAACCAATGTTACAGAGCTGCTTTACACACATTTAAAAGCATCCACTTGCATGGAAACAGAAATTCGATAAACTTGTATTTGTCATGTGGTCATCTTCTAGTGGTTTTGATGGACTTCTAACTCTTTTATGGCATTTTTGGTAGAGGTCTCTTGCAAGACCTTTGGCCATCAAGTGGTTAAGGCTTAACAGGTTGTAGTAGCCTGAACTACACCTGTGGCCAGAGAAAACCTTCAGCTTGTTCCTCACTGGACTGTCCCAGCTGTTAGGGCAGAGAGACACACCAGACCCAGGACATGCATGACCAGGAGGGGAAGGTGACCTGAGGGAGCCAGAGGGTGCCATGGTCAAAACCAAGAGGTCCCTTGTTGCTTTGGTGATCATGATGACAAAGTAAGAAGGACGTGGGAGAAGACTTGCAAACAGGGGTATGTCTTAGACATCCTGGCATTACTCTGAGGATGTGTGTGCTCCCCTTGCCTGTGCCCACAGCCAGCAGCCTCACTCCTCAAATTCAGCTCCCTCCTTGCCAAAGCCACACAAAGAATCAGTGGGGACTCAATCAATCAGCCAGCGGCTGCTCAGCATTTATAACGTACAACCCTGAAACTCAGCAGCACCTAAGAAACCCTCAAAGGATTAAGTGTCCCAAGACACTAGCAGAAAGTGAGGCAAAACTCCCTGCCGAGGAGCATTCACTGTCCCAAGGCGTAAGAGGCTGCATTTTCTGAAAGCCCAAGTACTGTACAATAGAGCAGGCTGCATTGCCAGAGTAGAGGGAAGTGGGTGAAAATAAGTAACAGAAGAGGACGGGTACCCCAAGAACCTGATGTGCAGCCACTAATTTGGCAGAGCTAATAAATAAACCACTGAACAGAGGTGTGCCAAACGTATTAATATTAATCTGTATATGAAGTCTAATGAAAGAGGTTTTATAAACTCAAAAAGCTGCTGGGGCAATGGCAGGATTGTGGGCTCTCAGATTCTGTGGCAAGGAGTGCTGCAAAAAAAGCCAAATTTGGAGATGGTGCAAATCAAGACAGCTGGTGTATGCTCCCGGTAGTGATCGCTTGTAAAGGCAAGATAAACCTGGGGGAAGAAAACAAATGGCCTGGCTAAAAAGCTTCCCTTCCCTTGGGGCAAGGGAATTTTCATCTCATGAGGACTTGTGTCTGGGTGAGCACCCATGGGGGCACAGGGCGTGATGGCCAGGTTGGCCATGCTTCTGCATTAGATGCAGCCACTCAGTCTTTGGGAGCCAGCTTTGGAAAAAGCAGCTGGGTTCCCAAATCCTGCAGTGCTGAGCCTTTAGAGCAACACTACTTGAACGAGCTGGACCCCAAGAAAACTCTGCCTCTGTGAGGTTCCCCCAGGTCCCACGGTGGCCCTGACCCCTTTCAGCCAGGCAGAGCGGGGCACAGACCTGCTAATGAACAAAACAAACAGCTAAATGGACAGTCTCGACCGAGCAAGGAAAGGATCTTTAATAACTTGTTTCTCAGTGCAACTGTTTAGTTAATGGCCTTTTTCCCCTATACCTTTTTTCCAGAATTCTAATGAAAGTCAGACCTAAGAGCTTCAAAACCATTGCCTCAGGCTGATGTATTTATTCCCATTCAATAGTATTATAACAATTACCCCCAAAAGAGGTCTGCTTTAAACATCTCTCTGTCCTAGCTTTATCCCATTGAAGAAAATATCTTTTTTCTTCTACATAATTACAACATGAAAGAAAAGATTTTTACGCATCAGAAACAAGAAAAGAAGGTGAATATTAGCAAGTCCTTTCTTGCAGCCCATAGGCAGACAGGTATTTTTTTTAGTTATAAAGAAACAAGTGTGACAGCTGATAATAGGAGAAAGACAGGACAAGAAGAAGGGGTAACAGAAGGAAAAAAGGAGTGAAAAGCAGCCAACAGAACTGTCTACATCAGACAAAGCTAATGCCCATACAAGCTGTGGGAGGGCCAGATGCAAGACTGCTACGCCTTGTATGTTCCCCATCATGCTGCAGGAAGCCAGGGCTGAGAAACCAGGGCCCAAGGTAGAGTGGGGAAATGATGTCCCCAGCCTTTGAGATTTCGCCAGCATCTCAGCACCTTTCTGAAGGCAAAATCGACTTGGGAAAGAGTGTATTTTTTCCTTCCTTTTCATTCACCTCGATTTACATTTAACTATAAGGCAAACCCACTTGGGGTCATGCTGAAGCATCACTAAGTACACAAACACAACTCCCAGTACGTCTCACCGCTTTAAGCATTCACACAGCTCTTGACTCATTTAAGCGGCAAAGCCTTCTCGTACCATTTTTCATCTTGTGACAGGGTCTTTACATCCCAGTTCACTTTCACACTGTTTCCCTTCTGAGCTCGGCAGCCCCGTCGCAACGTCAGTCATTAGAGGGCACAATGCAAACAGTGTTACAAAAGTTGACTTCTGTAAGATAAACGAGCGACTGATTTCTCCATACAAAGACAGTTGCTAAGGCATGCTTCCTTCCAGAGCCTTTTGTTGCTGAATTATAACCTTCCAGCGCTTCCTTTCAGACTGCAAGTACATGGGGTTTTTTCTTTAGTTGAATCTTATAAAGTACTTTTCCCTCTATTTATCATGTTCCAAAATGTTGAGGAGTGAGAAAGAAGTGCTGCATCGAGGGAAAAATGCTTGCAGTCACCTGTTATTGATTGATTTATATTGCAAGAACTCACTCACTATATAAAGTCCAACACAAACGCGTATCAAAAGAAACTCAATGTCCCAAAGACCTGATAGCATAAATAGGCTAAATAGCTGGGAGGGGCAACAGCTTTTAATAGAGTGTCTTTCTTGGAACTAAAATGGTATTTTCTTTTTTTCTTTTTTTTTTTTTTTTTTTTTACTTTCATGGAAAATGGCCATGTTATCAGCCTAAAGAAAAACCATGGCATTCACGCCGAGTCTTTAACGATAGCTTTTAAACTGTGTTGCACTGGAGCCACTGTGCCAGTTTTAGAACCCATGCCTACTGGCTGCTGTCAGCCTGGGGGGAGGTATTCTTTCCCAAAGCTCCAGACAACCAAATTTATGCATGAGAAAATTCTCATATCCTATCTTGTTCTTGTGAAAGAATACAAAGCTTGTTGTCCAGGGTGTGGGGACCGTCTAGTGTTTTGGTTGGTTTTTTTTTAAAATTCCTTGTACAATAGGCTTCTGTCAGTGCTGCTGGAGAAGACCTTCAGCATCTATTGATGTCAGTAGCATGGTAACAATTTATAACAGCCACTGGGTTGGCCACATGGGAAGGGGGAGGAATATTCACCCTGTCCTACTATACAGAAGTGCTTAAGCATGGTAGCTCAGTCTACCCAGGATCTCCACCCCCTAAAACCCTTCATAACTATGGAAGGAACCTGCAGAGATCAGCTGGCTAACCTGGGTACATCAATCACATGCCTAAAATTAGGTGAGGTATATCCAGGGTTTGGTGTCTATTTGTCGGGCAGTTGCCAGAAACCAAGCTCAGATGCATTCAGTGATCAGGTTCCTGAACTGGTTTGTCTGTCCAGCCTGGAAAATAAAGCCCAGTTCCTGGAAAAGTCCTTGACTTACACTGACATGGCACTTTAGACTACTGAAGAAGCAGATAAGCATAATTGCAGCAGTGCCATTTCGGTATGGCAGCAGGATCACATCAAACTACTTTGGGCACGTGTCTTAAGTCCACTGGAGCTTCGCAAAACCAAACTGCTTCATTTGTCCTCACTCTGTTCAGTGCAGGTGAAAGATGTGTAAACAGGGCTGCACTGGCAGGAGCACAGGAGAGGACAGGCAGGAGGGGGTGGGAGACATTAGAGAGCTGGTAATACTGGATTATCAATGAGACAATGAAGTAATCTCACCTGATAAGGGTAAAAGCAGGGAGCCCCAGCAAGGACACAGCCCTCTAAGACTGACAGCTCAGGCCAACCATGGAAACCACTCAGCTGCCCCAGGGTGCTGCAGTCAGGGAGGGCCAAGGAGATGAATGAACACCTACTCTTACCTTGAGTCAGAACTGCACAGCCCAGATGTGATCTCTCTGGGTTTGCTTTCTCCACTTTGGAGTCCTAAACTGCAAGATCCTACTTATCTCCAAGCTGATCTCCACTTTTATGATCCTTGCTATAGTTGCAAGCAGGCCATGGGGATGGTAAGGGGCCGAGCATGCACTGCAATAGCTCTATGCACAGAGGTATCAGCAAGGGGTGATCTGTAGCTCCTGCATTACAGATCAGCTGAAAAAGCAGTCTTCTCATGGCCACTGAAGATCAGGAGGGATCTCCTGCTTATGTGACTCAATTTCTCTACTCGCACTGGGGGTTCACCATGTAATGCAGCTCACAAACTGATCCAACTACTTTGCCTGGTACGGCGTGAGGTGTGATTGTCCATGCACTTTTTTTCCTGGGCATGTGTTGGGCTTTTGTTAATGAGATTTTTGAGATTTCTTTGAATAAATTTGGGAGGAGCAAGGAAGAGAAGGAAGTGCATCTGTATCACCCTGACAGCTGTTTGTTGCACACAAGTGTATAGCAAGGGACAGTCAGGATCATGCTACCCATGAGGATCAGTCCTTGCTCTCGTTGGAAGGTAGCTAGGTCTTCCCTGTAGACTTCTCCTGCAGCTCATGGAGAGAGAGCCTCTCCAAGAGCAGAAGCCCCACCTCTATATTCAGAATTCACCTAACAGCTGACATGGCATTTCTGATGCTCAAAGGAACCCAGAGCTTTCCTACATAACTTCCTTTCTCCTTCAGGAGAAAGGGTGGATGCAGAAATTGCTACCAATCTTTGCTCTGGTCACTTTGTGATATCTGCCTGAGACCTGGTGGCTACACCCCAGTGCTGCCAGGACACCCCAGTTTACTGCCCAGAGCAGCCCAAGAGAAAAACAAATATATCATGTTCAGATGTTCCGCTGGCCAAGCACGGACAGAAACTAAGCCTGCCTGTGGGCTCAGACCAAGCAGAGGTTTAAGAAAACTTGTACATACTTTCTTTGGAAATCTTTTGTTTGTTTAAAGGATCTTGAACTTGCTTAAATTTTCATGTTAACTCTTCAACTGAGGATATTCTTCAGAAGTGCTCTGGTCAAAACAAGCATAAAAACAGAGCTAGATTCTATAAACATATTGGGAAATGACAATGTGTTTCCCAGCACTTGCTGACCTCAGTTTTACAGTGAAGGTACTGCTAAACCCCCATATAGATACAGTTACATGGTAACAAGACTGAAATCCCCATCTCACACTCAAATGGACTGACCATAATTCTTCAGAATTCTCTTTTATGTGACTTCTTCAGGTGAAAGGTATAAAAACGTTCCCTCTCTGAAATCTCTTTTCAGAAGTTTCTCTGACTTCTCCCAGCTAATAAGTCACAGACCCCCTCAAACCTCCATCCTTTTTCTGCTCATTCTCACATACATGTCTTGGTATCATCTTGGAAATAATCTCTCTTCCCATTTTGAAGCAACGCACTGGCAAACTCCAGTCTGGCATGCACAAGTGGGATGCCACCACAGTTCCCAAATTGCAGCAGCCTCGTGCCAGGTGGGAGCCTGCCACGGACCGGGCTCAGCCCCAGCTGCCCCAGTCCTATGGTGGAAAAAGTGGTATTGGGCGAGGAAATATCTTACCACGCTGTGACCCTACCTGCAAACCATGGGGCTACGTCACCCTGACACCACATCCCCAATGGGACACGTGGAATAAGCTGCAAAGCACAGCAAAATTATTCAGCCTCACTGCAGCAACGTCACCTCTGGGACTCCTGCCACATACACATTTATAACCCAAGCTGAACTTCCAGTCCCCTCAGGGCTGGCACAGGGGCTTGTTGCTATTTGGTGCTTTGGTTTTCAGTGCGATTATGGCACTTGACTCCTTCCCACAGCACCACCTGTTACCTGCACACTATGGTTTCCAGCAGCATATTTGGCTGCAGGCTCTAGAGCTCTCAGCAGTGCTCTGGGGCACACTCCTGTGCAATTGTATCCCACCAAAATAATCCTGAGCAAACAGCTTCTTTCAAAAACTTTTGCTCAGGGAACAGCTGTGGAAAGCAGAGCAGTGCTACCTGAAACAGCCTTATCAATCACAGCACTGCACGCTTTCAAACTGGTGTATTTTCAGGCTGTGGCAAGACTAGCTCTATTAGAAGGGAAATATGTTGTCTGCTTCACATCTGAGACTGTAATTTAAGTGAAACGAGAGTTCCCTGAAGAGCTGGACAGATGCCAGACCTCCTTACCTAGAGTAACTGCCTTATGGGTTTTTTAAATGATATTTCCCTTTCTAACATTATTCAGCACAGCATGTTTGACCACCCTGGCTTTCCCTCCTGCTCCTCTGCCAGCAAAGCCAGGACTTTCAGAGCCAGCCAAGACAGGCAGAAAGGGAAAGACGTGTTGAGGGCAGCGAGATCAAGGTGTCCCCGGGCTGGCAGGATGCCAGAGTCCCCTCAAAACTGGAGCACAGCGTTTTTATCTGGAGAAAGGTACTGCAAAGTGCAATGGAGAGCCTGGGAGTGAGAGACAAACCCCAGCTCCCCTGCCTCTCAGTTCCAGAGCCAACTCAGTATTTGAGGATCCTCCAGAAGCAACTGCAATCACAAGATTTTTAGTACATTTAAGGAAGCTCTGCTCCCTCTCTGTCATCAAACTGCCCAGCATTTATTATCTTTTAGATATTGTGTTATTGAGAGTTAGTGTTTGGGGGAAGAAGGGAGTCAGCAATTTAAATTTATTTTAAGGATCCACCTGAAATAAACAAACTTAAATTACTGTGGAGCACCCTTGAAGGATGAGAGTCCTATTGGGCCCTACATCGAGGCACAAGGGAAGCCCAGCACCTCAGTCTGACACAAGACCACCTCCTTTTTAAAGGCCGCTTTTGCTCTCTGTGCTTCTAATTCAGGGCACCACATGTCAAATATACTGGGACCTATACTATATAGTGTTCCCTACTACTTTTAAAACTGCTCTCCTGCAGCGCAGACATTGTTGGGTGCACGTACGTACCACATGGATAACGCCGGCTGCCTTGACGGGCTTGAATCCATCGACGGGGACGCAGTGGTCAGCGTGGCCGTTGCAGAAGCAGCTGCCCTTCACGATGAAGTCGTAGACAGCGTAGTGCAGGGGCGGCGGGGGCTGCAGGGACAGGGGGGCTGGGCCCGCCGGTTTCTGCCCCCCCGCCCAGCCGCACCCGCAGGTTGGTGATCTTCAGCTGCGCCTGGGCTTCGGTGCTGTACGGGTCCTCTGCTGCGTAAGGCGGCGACAGGGCTCGGTATATCACCTGGGCAGAGAAATGAAGTGACATTTTGGTGTCAAGCAACATTTCGCCGTTACCTTAAAGCAGAGATGGGTGCTGCTGGTACACGGTGTGGCCCTGGCTGCGGAGGCCAGCCCAGCGCAGGGACCAGCAGTCCTGCTGGCGATGCTCAGGTGGGGGACTTTTCATTAACCTCCCCTCTCCCAGAATGGGCGTAGTTTTTAACAAACAAAGCTCAGATTTCCAAATATTTGGCTCCTATCAGTCCCAGGCTGTTTCCTAGTGGAAAAGTGTTTAGGTGTGGCAATTAGTGACAGCAAGCTGATAGTCGGGAAAACCGAGATAAGAAAGAAAGAAAAGTGGGGGCCTTCTGAAGTTTAAACAAATACTTATCAGTCAGTCTTTATTTTCGCTTTGGTCTGATTGAATAGGTAAATATTGGCTCAAGCTGAAAATTGAGAGCATTAGATAAAAATAACTAGCTTTCTTTT